GCACGATGCACTCTGTCATATTGTGCAGCTGGGGAGCTCAGGGGAAAGCACGGGCTGATTAATCCATAGCCTAGATGATCCACTCACAGACAATTGAGTTGTCTGTGAATCTACTTGTGCATTACAGCTTTTAAGACTTGTTCAAGTACAGGCTGTTAGTTCCATACTCGTGCAGTAAGAAGCTGATAATTTATTAAATAAATTTGGATGAAATTAAAATTATATAAAAGAAAGTTAGCGCTTTGGCTTTTATTTGCAAAATGAATTCTATTATTTCCTGAAAATATTTTGTGGCCTATGAACTCTGATTGCACTACTTTCAGAATTCCATGGTGAAAAAAATGCAACGCTGATAGATCCAAATGAGGAAAAACGAACTCTGCATCACAAACAATACCCTGATTTTACTAAAAGGTGGGGTTATTTTTGTCATACTGTTTTTCATCAAACCTACAGTACAACATTTGCACTTGTGGTAGCCAAAATATGCAGCACTACTCCATTTTTTGCTGATAAAATAATTTTACATAGTAAATACAAAAATTAATCTGAAAATATGAAAATATTTATTTTTTTTACAATCCTGCATTTTGATTTTGGAGTTGTAACTTCTAGCTAGCAATTCACCTACTGCAAAAAAATAAGATCACGTTGTGTACCTGGCTGCAACTTTTGTGTAAATGCAAGTGACAACTCTGCAGTATTTTCTCAGATGAGCCACACTGATAGTGCTGCACTTCCTTAAGGCCTCTTCTCTTCTCACTGAATGAACTCCAGGGAATGGCATCATGTTGGGCTTTCCAGATGGATTATGTGAAGCCATAGCTCAATGTCATTTTCAATAGCAAGGCTCATAATTAAAGGTCAAATAGTCACTTCATCTGCAATCAATCAATAGAAGAAGTACTAATACTAAGTACTAATCAATCAATGGCAAATGCACTAATAAAAGCCATGCATCAAACGTCCGCATATGTGTGTGCTCACATGTACTGTGCATATATGTGAGTAGGGAGAAGGAGAGAAAGAGAACAAAGTGGCTGAATATGCCAGAGGGCATTGTGAATACTATATTTATCTTCACTACTTGCAAGCTTATATCCTGTTCCACTCATTAAGTGAAATACAAATATACATTAGCTTCTCTGCATATGTGGCGTGCTCTGTTGGAAAAAACTGCCAGAGCACCCACCTCTGTGCAGAAATATCAGCTTGTGTTCTGAACTAAGAAACACAAAGGCACCTACCCTGTGTAATTTGTCCTTACACAAACATGCCCTGCACTCTGATCTTTGAGACAAAAAGTGTGTCAACTGTTCTGTCTACAAAACAAAACCCAGCATATGGGAACAGCACTCATCTCCGTGCAGAGCAAGCGCTTATTCATGGATTCAACAGTGGAAGTGGCAGTTGGCCTCATGAGCATGCACTGCATGGGAATTAGTTGGTTTCATAATATGGTGTGGGAGAAAGTGACTTATAAAAGTCTTCTCATGCTTCTTCTATTTACCACTTCTAAAGCTTTAAAGCTGTCAACTCTTCTCCCACTTTAGTCAGTGCCATTCTAAGCTCCCCTGGGAATGGGCCAGACGTACCTATTTGGAGTTTCACCTGCCAAGCTGAGATAAATCAGTTTCAAAGTGAAAGAACAAGTGTTGGGGGGTCATTTATACACTACCACTGGAATATTGAAGACAAAAAAAGCAGAGCTCCACTATGGATGTGAAACCAGACTCTGAGCTGTGCTTGTACTTTTAGGCACTGTAGTGACAGAGGGAGAAGGAAAAAGAAGAGACTAGAAGGTTTCTCGTTGCAGGGTTCATAGTAAACATCCCTGAACAAAGCAATGTCACAGAACAGCAAAATACTATGGGCCAAAATGCCCGTCTGTCCTTTTTTTCTGCAAAGATCAGGGTGGACAAGAATGTGTTGTGGATAGATTAAACTGTCCTTATAACAAACGAGATTTACTCTGCTTCCACCTGCAGTGAAGGAATAAATACTAGTTTGCTCTGGTTAATATTCCTGTTTACATCATCAGCTCAGGGTTATGCCTCTTTGCACTACAGCTTCATAAAATCACAACCTATTTACATAAAAACCTATGTCTATGCAGCTCTAACTTACCTGAACCTGGCTATATTACCAGAATAACACACCCAGGGTCTCAAAAAGAGCCAGCTTGAAAGTGCTACACAGAAGGCACACCTGTGTAGCGCACACACGGTGTAGGGGTGCACCCAAGAGCAGTGGGGTCCTCAGGCTTACCAAAGACAGGCTTCCCAGGGGCTGCCAAAAAGAACATTTCCCCATCAAGGTGCTCTTGCTGGCCCCAAGGAAGACAAGCCTAGGAGCCTGAAAGAAACCTTGACAAAGCTGAGTCCCAGAGAGGGAATACAGCAAGGGAAGCAGTAGTGCAAAATTGCAAAGCCTACAAACACATTACAACCTATGACTAGCCTCTTAGAAGGCAAACTTTCTTCCCAAGAGATATCCTTCTTCAAGAATGAAAGTAAAGCAGTCTGCTCTGAAACTGCTAATGGAACAATTTATTGCCAAGAAGCAGTCATAGAGTCATAGAATGGCTAAGGTTGGAAGGGACCTTAAAGATCATCAGGTTACAGCCTCCCTGCTATGAGCAGGAACCCCTCACACTAGACCAGGCTGCACAAGGCCTCATCCAGCCTGGGTAAAGAGAAGCTGTAGGAGTCCCTGAATACAAGAAGGACAAAGTATTTTTCTTTGTGTGCTTGGGCAAAGAAAGCTGCAAAATACAAAGCTTGACTCATCAGGCTTTGCTAATGAGAACAGTAACATGGAATTGGGAAAATGTGAGCCAAAAAAGTCTAGCAAGCTAGGAACCTTCAACTAGGTTCTTCTAAAGGAGAAAATAAAATACAAAATAATTGTGTACTAGCAGAAGCAAAGTGAACTGACTCAGCTGTGTGTATAGGTCAAGGCAACCTGCATGAGGGTACCTGGTAGTGAATAAAAGAAATGAAGAGTCCTCATTTTTTTCTGGATAATGGCAGGCCTCTTAGGGCTTAAAGAAAGTATTTGTGATTATTTTCTTACTGTCACAGCAAGTTCCCATGTTCAACAGAGTATAGAGGAAACTATTTTCATGGGAGAGGGAAGGGGAGACTTACACATTTGTGTTGTTAAATACAACCAGCTTCTCCTCTGTAGTATCACAGCTGTGTCCTAAGTTTATATACACCTCCAAATAGCAAGTACAGTAGTGTCTTGTGACTTCAGTGTGGGGCTGCTTTCTAGAAATACAAGTGTAACTGTTCTCCTGAAGCTCATATTTAAGTTGAAGCATTTGGCTGAAAAATACTTAATGTCATTTAATCTAAGTTCTACTTTAAGGTAGAATCAACTCTAGCTATTTAATTCCTGTCTGAGGCTTGTCTACAGTGACAGGAGATTCAAGACATCAACAGACAACATATTCCAAAGCTAAACTGTTTTACAGGTTTCCCTGATTGTTAGCTTAAATCATCATCATTGTAACAAAGACCTTCATTTTTCAAAGTCCACTGTGAAGAAGTTACTTTCTTCCTTCTTTGCATCAACCTGTTATGCATTTGAAGATCACTACTGTATTTCAGCTGTCTTGTCTCAACAATCCCACTTGTTTCAGCTTTCCTCTGGGGTCATGTTTTTGAGATCTATGATCATTCATGGCACTCTCCTCTGATCTCTTTCCAGCTGGTCCACATAATTTTTTGAATTGTGGAGTTCAAAACATCATGCAAATGTCAAGAGCCATAATGCTCTTAAGCCATACAACTTTTGCTACTTCTCTGCAACCCACAGGACCTTGTGTGAAAGAAAATTAGGTTTGCATTTGACAAATCTACAGGGCTGTTATTAATTTCCTTCCTTCTTCCTACACTCTTAAAGTAATTTATTTAATTATTTGTTTCAGTAGTTTTCTGCAAAATGAAGTTAAACTCACTGATCTACAATTCCTTGTCCCCTCCTGGTTTCCATTGTGAAAAAGAGGCATTATGTTTGCCTTTTTCTTGTCTTCCAGGAACTCCTTCACTTCCCACAGACTTTCAAGGGCACCTGTTAACAGTTGTGCAGCACAGGCCTGGCTGTAGTAAAAAACCCTGAGATGAGTTTTGCTATATCAAACTGACTTGGAAAACATTGCACCTAAATCCTGACTTGTTCTTCCCTGTTTCAGGCTGAGCTCTTACCTTTGTTATTGACACCAGCTGTGTTTCTCTTAGACAGATACAGTCTTGAAAAGGCATCTATTCAGTCACATATGCTTTATCAGATCCATGTTTTCATATTTTGAAAAACAGTAAGAAAATATTCAAGTACTAGTGGCTTCACTGACTGAGCATAACAGACGAAGCATAACTGATTTAGTAGTGTTTTGTGAACTTCCATCAGAACATCTTACCATCACTAAGGGGTCTTAAGTGACAAATATCTCCAAGATGTTTTCATGAATGAATTCTAATAAATGAAACTATCCAAAATGTCTGCAGACTTAAAATAAACACATTTTGTTCATGTTAAGCAAAAGATAATACTGTCTATTTGTGATTTCTGAATACACTGTACACTTTGATTTTCACTCGTACATCCCAGCTTCTTCAGTGTAAGATTTTACAGAGACTGGGCAGATAAACTTCACAATGTTTTTTTGTAACAAACCAGAAATGTTATCAATATTGAATTAGGCAACAGAATAAGAACAGAAAGAAAAATTCATTTTTCCATAAATACGGTGGTCTTACTGTATATATCACTAAAATGTCAGCTGAGATGACTATGTAGTCTGCTCTGTAACAAGCATTTATTTTATCTGTGCAAGAATATTATCTTACTAGTAGTACCATACTGGTAGCTTTACTTGTCACACTAAAACCAAAACCATTTAAGCAGAAAAAACAGCAACCAACAACAATTTTTTTCAACACAGCAAGGTATGAATGTTACTGTGGTTTTGCTCAAAAGCTAATCTTCTGACTTACCCAGGGTAAGGGATTTGTGTGTGGAACAGAAAACGATAGCCACTGTGTCTGCTGGTGTGAAACTAGAGTTGTTCCTAGAAAAAAAAAAAAAAGTTTTAATAACCTCTGATAGCAAAAACCTTCTTAAAACATCATCGATCAAATATATTACTTTGAGGATCCATATGCACATTCACGTAACTTTGATCAGGTCTGCTGACAGAAATAATTCTACCCACAAATGAACAGTAGTGTTTGATTATATATTTTTTTTGAGCAGAATTGTTTCTCAGTTGTGGCAAACTCTCTAATGAGTATGCTCCTGTGTGAAGGAGAGGAATTCTGAACACATGGTATGTAGGACATAATTTTACTCCAGCCAAGGTTATTTTTGCAGACATGCAGTGAGCAGCTTGCCTCTATATATATATAAAAAAAAAAAAAAAAAAAGAAGAAAAGCGAACAACCTACGATTTCTTTTACTATGTAAAGTTAGCAAAATGCTCAATTTAGATAGTCTACACGATGATCACTGTTTTGAATATGTAACTGTCTTCCACTTCAAAGAAAAAACGTATCTAGGGGTTTACATACTGGGAGTAAGTCTGGGAAGGGTGGAAAAATGACGTTCAGAGGGACATATATGACTGGCCAATGGTTCACCCTTTGGTTCAAATTAGGCATATTTTTATGACATTTCAAAATATTTACCATAATGTCTCAGTTGGTTACTACCTGTGGCATTTTAGATCATACAGTCAGGACATATCTTCCCCCCAGGTTAGGTCTAGAAGTTCCAAAGTTATTTTTAAATGCCTCCTAAGGTCAGAGCATAATCTCATCACAGATTTTCTTGTGGCACTAAAAAAGCTAAGTAGCTCTAAGATATTGCACCCTTCTTAGTGATTCTCCCTTATGGATATTGTACCATTTATATATAGTGCATGTCTGGAGTTTACTGTATTGCAGCACTCCCCATTCAGCAGAAAATGCTCCAGTAAGCCTAAAACAGGACAATGGTGGATACTCTGACTGGCTCAAGTGATGCACTGATCTGTTGGCTAACAGTGTTCTCAAGGTACTATTTCTTGAGAAGTGAATGTACAACTGTTCCTCATGGTTGATACTTAAAAAGAAAAAAATTAGCTCTACCTAACATTAGTTCAGGACAACTGCCTTTTAAGAATCACCACATAAATGTAACACATTTGACATGTACAGAGTAGAGTGAATTGCCAGCCCAGCAAATGTATCTTGAGATGTAAAAAGTCAGACTGAGCTTGCTCTCTCATATGTCATCAGCATGTCTGCAGGGCAAATTATATCTTCAGTGACATCTGTGCAAATCCATTTTTTTCAGTGGATGAGGTATAGCAGTGATTGATTGAGATTTAACAACTCTGTAATTAACACACAAGAAAGGACAGAATTCAGGTCCTGCTCTCTCAGCCTATGAAACTCTCACAGAAAAAAGGCAGTAAGGACAACATGAAATACCAAAATGAGGTCTCACCCCTATTCAGAAACCTGCCTTTACAAGTTTGCATAAACTATATCACCCAAACCAAACATATCACACAAAACAAATAATAAAAAGTTCTGATTCAGCACATTCAAATACCTTGTAGAGAAGAGGAAAGTCAAAAACATGAAGCTCATCTGAATGGAAAATACTGGAAGAGAAACAAGATAAAATTAGATTTAGATCACAGAAGTAAAGATCACATAAATCTCTTCAATTGCTGTGTTCATGCCTTTGCCCCCATGCAACAGGTGAGAAGCCGGACCCAGTCTAGCCAGAGAAATACAATGACAGACAAGCTTTAAAGACAATTTTGTCTGGATGAACAGTATTTATCACTACATCCAAGAAAGCTAGAGCTAATGCCATGGCTACACAAGCTCTTCCTGAGGTTACTCTTCTCAGCCAAGTATTTCTTGACATGGCAAGAAAGTTCACTACTGCATGCTGCACATCTGTGTGCACCGGGTTTGCCTATTGGGTTGACAACATAAGATCTCTCAGACATACTCTGTTTGTCAAGCATTGAAATTTAGCCCCTTTCTATTTCACAGGAGAAAGTACCAGGTGTAAGCATGATCCCAATAAATATTCTCACACACTGGGCATATCACTCTCCTGATGAATGAGCACTATTAAGAGAAGATCATCATAGACATTTTAATTCCCTCTGAGAAAAAGGCTAATTCCTGAACTGGGCAGCATAGGTCAGACAAAGCAGCTTTTGTTTAAGCTCTGGCCATCTTTGTGCTGACTAAGTGCACATGGTTTTTGAGCTTCCTGAAGGGATCTCTCCTCTCTAATCCTTCTCCTGACACCTGCAGGGCTTGTGGGATGCACAGTCTGCAGAGATGTGGGGGAAGCAGGGAGCTTCCCTGCTGTGCCCTGAGTAGCTCCTGGGATTGCAGAGCCTGAGCATTGTGTTGGCGTGCAGGAAATCTCCACAGCACTGGAGAAGAAACCCTGTGATCTGCGTAGATCTTTTCTGGGTCTTTGTGGGTTATGGGGAAAGGCTTTCACATGGAGCAGAATCAGGGGTGGGTCCCCTCTCTTCTCCTTGCAAAACTTGTGAATGCAATGAGGCTAATATGCCCCATAGGACAGTGCAAGCCAAGAAAATACATTTGATTTTGACCACTGTTTACAATCGGGCAACATGACAGGGGTATTAGCTATTACCACTGACATTTTCCATTCTCTTACATACATTTCCTAGGATGTATAAATGTCACCTCAGTATGCACTTAATTCTTCCTTCGTGAAATAAGGAAGCAACCCATTGTTCCTGAATTAGAATTTTTCTGCAACTAAGTACATTAATTTAATATGCACAGAAAAAAATCCCTTAATATGTGTAATTCTGTAAAGCAATAAGCATGTGTTGCTATCAATTCTCCCTTTTGCATATTTTACTGTAGCTAGAATATTAACATAAAAATTACATTAAAACATTATTTAGCAGAATCATAAACGCAGTTTCATCTAAACTCCTTGTGCTAGTTTCACATCCTGGTATAACACAACACACACATACAGCCAACACATCCAACAGCAGGGCAGAAACTTCTTCTAGGATACAATGTGCATATTCATCTCCACAACTCGCCTGTTGTTTTTTTTTGTTTTATAAATATTTTAGAGAAAACCCAAACATCTAATATATTCCAAGCCATTTCAGTGCTTATGTTTATATTCTTACTAAGAAACTCCAGTTACACACACTGGCAATGAAAATGTATATATAATGATTTCCAGTGTTTTACACTGCAAGTGGTATATATAATTACAGATGGCACAAATGCAGAGTTGTCTTGCAGAGAAATAAAGGACAAAAAAGGCAATGGAAGCAACCACACTACACCACCAACTGCTCAAGGAAGAACGTGCCTTTAAAATAAAAACAAAACATTTTTTTTTCAAAGTAGTGATCAGTACAGTAAAAAAATTACTTCATTCTGAGTTTCTCTACATGTGCAGTCAGAGTCGAAAACTTCCATATCCCTCCTTCTTGCTGACAACTCTGCACTAACTTAAGTGCACCTGGGACATGACCCTTCTCAGGTGCCTATGTAAACAAGTATTTCTTCCATTTAAAAAAAATGCTCCTTTGCATGACTTCCTCCTTCTTTGCTTTCAGAATAAAGTATTCATACCTTATCATTCATAATTCCATGTAGTATTTAACACATGTGTATACAATCCAAAAAACTGCCACAATTAGGACAGAATAAGAACTGACCCACAAAGGGCAGGCTAAGTTTCCTAATGACTTTAACGGAGGTTGGATTTATAGAAGATACATTATTTTTATTAGACAGAAACGTGCACATACACTCACTCTGAGGTACGTGATGCATTGATTTCTTGAAATGTAACAGTTTTAGAGTGTACAAGATGTGATTTATACTATAGTTACCCCTCCCTAAGCAAATTGAAACTCCTGTCTCTGGACAGTCTGAATCAAGACAGGAATTCCCTACTGGGAGAGGAGACAGTGCCTGTATTCCACTGCCTTTCCCTGGGAGGTAGTGATCTGCAAGCGTATTTTTAACTGATGGCAAGGATACCAGCAGGCTGTTCTCATGTGTATGTTATTTAAGGCTGAGTGACTAGAGTGCTTCTAAAACAAACTCTGCAAGAAATGTGTTCATCCACAGAAATATATCAACACATTTAAACTCCCACTAGTTTCTAGGTCTATAATACAGTAAGGAAGAAATATTTTAAAGTTCTAACAGCGCTTCTGACTAAAGGCTTAATCACAAATACTTTCTTTCTATTTGGAATGCAACACCTGTGCATTCATGGTTGTTTAATAACCAAGAAACAGAATGGTTGTAAACACTTGGAAAGTAATATCCTGCCCCTTAAGAAATGGAGGCCAACTGAGCAAAGTCAGGCACACCTAAGTAGTAGGGTTCTCTCTAAATGCTTACTCAGTCCCCTAAAAGCATCCAGGCCCTAAGAAATCTGGTAGTCTGGCTGACTAGATGCATTAGGAGTACAAGCCCTAGTCCCGTGCCAGTATCCCTGCAGCCTCACCCTTTCCAGTACATACAGCTAACTGCAAACATGAAACACAGATAAAAGAGATAACTTTAAGGGTAAACTTACTTATGAACACTATTATGATCAAGCTAAATTTATCAAGGTCAATATTTGGATTGGCGAAAGTATCACAGAATGTTGTGTAGATGATCATCAGGAGCACACAGCTGCTGATAGTGCCAAATGGAGGCTTCTTCCTTTCAAGCCAGTCCTTGATGTATCTTCGGACAATCTGAAACACAGAAACCAACAGGTTGCCTCTTTTCAAAGATGCAGGGAGCCAAGTTGGGCATCACAAAGTGAATCTGACAGTGGAAAGACACAAAGAGAAGAGAGTAATTTGGATGATGGCCACAGTGGATTTCAAAGCTTCCCTGCCACACAACTCCTCTTCTGGGGAATTTAACATTTGTAGTGCAACTTCCACTGGGCATCCATAATGAGAGTATATTTTCAAGTACATTCAAATCCATCCTTAATCATGCCAAATGTTCTTTGCTAGCTGTCACTAAGACATGCCCATTAAGCCTCCCCAAAGTTTATCTCCTCTGCTAATACTAATGGATGTATGTAATTATCACAGTCCCCTTTGCATCAACAGACAATTCCAAGTGCAACATTGGGAATCTAAAAAATGTGACATCTTCAGGAAATTCATGACGGTAGATAATCGAAAGTGATCCATGGAACATTTTAATATTTAAATAGCTAGCGATGCACCAGAAGTTTTTAATTAAATTATAACTCAAGCTTGAAAAGCAAAAGTGCATGTGTTGTGGGAGTTTAAATAATTCAGACTCTGAATATCTCAAGATTTTGTAAATCCAAAGACAAATGCCATTTGCACGCTTTTAGAATACCAGAATTAACACATGAAAACAAGGAAACCTACTGTACTTAGCAGAACTTTTGCACTTTCAGGAAACAGAATCTGTACTTTGTTTTCAAGAATTTTTTAGAAACAACTATATATTTAAAGTAACTTCAACTTCCAAATTATGCCAAATACTACGGGACTAAGCCTCAGCAGATACAATGCATCTATTTCAGCCCTGCCTGGGGAGTTGCTTTTGTTTTTTCTCTTTAGATGGTTTGAAAAAACTTCTTAAAGTTTTTATCATACAGTTGCGATTTGTGTCAATTTTTCAGCAATCATGTTGTCTTGCCTAATTTCTCCCAAGACCTCCCAATGTTCAGTTTCCATGCTCTTTCAGAAATAATAGCACAAGATCCTGAAACACTTCTACCAGAGGGTTCTAAAGGTGTCTCATTACCTCCCCATAGCAGTACCATTAATAAACATCACCACTATCAGTTTAATAAGATAATAATAAGTTAATAAGTTTAATAATTTTAGAGGTATCCAAGATTAATATCAAAACACTACCACCAATGTGACTATAAGACCTTTTCATACAGTAACTGCCAAAGCTGTGGCATTGACCTCACCACTATCAGCTTGCCTCACTGCCTTCCCAGCTTGTTTGTGACCTCTGAATTGGAAAGGCATGGAAGCAGCTATCCCAGTGACCACAGCAAACAGAATTCATTGACCACATGGCAGGACACATATTAAAAATTTGGCACATGGGGTTCATGCAAAGCTATGTAGGCTGAACACCAGCACTGGCCTCCCAGAACTTCGAAGTTTCCCGTTGATGAAAAATAACAGATTTACAGGAAAACACGTAAGGGAACATTCAACACCCTAGTGGAAACACTCAACTTCAAAATTTCACACTTGCCAGATGTTAAAGAGAGAACAGAACTCAGAAGATACAGTGAAACTTCTGAAAGAGCATTAAAAGGATCTCCTTCAGCCTCCTCCTTACAAGTAGCCACCCTGCAGGAGTAAGACCCCACCCTGATGAAAGAGAGGCAAAAAAGCTGGGTGAAGACATCAGGTGTGCAGTGTGAAAGACATAAAATGGGAAGACCATATTAGTCTAATCTGAGCAGAGTTGGGACTCTGTAAATATCAGAAGCAAAATCCAAAGTCTTTCACTTCTAAAGTGAAGGTCTTTAAGGAAGTTAAAAAAAAAAGTTCTATTATCCCCTAAATTAAGGTAACATTGGGGAAAAAAAAAAAGCTACTTAAGACCACCTATTCATTGATGGTCCTTCCAGAAGATTTATACTGAAAGTAATGAGATGCTGAAAAAGAAAAGTGATAGTTAATTATGCCACAGTACAACTTATACTGGAGGTACTTATCAGGACAGTTTATAACCTTGTGTCTGCACAAGGTATAATTATAACATGCATGACAATAACAACTTTATACAGGTATTTATCATGGACTAACAAATAAGAGAGAGAAGAAACATTCTAAAAAATAAACTGCAAGAGGTATTTCCTTAAAATCTTAATCCGATTGGTGTATTCTTTAAATATCCACCTCTATCTAGTCTGGAATTATTGTGAATCAACAATCACAAATACCACTATGACTTCTAATTGCACATTGTATTTTTATTTTTTTTAATACATACTCAGACACTGAAGAACTAAATTGTGGCTTCAGGAAATCATCTAATCAACCCGGTGTCATGCTAAATGTATAATGTTAAAACACAGACTAAATACATCCTCTCTAACACAGAATCCCATACATTTTGATCTTCTCACAAGTTTCAAGATGATCTATAACTTCAGGGGTCAATCCAGCCTATGATCACAGTTTCAAGGTAATCTAAATTCTTGTATAACTGAAGAGGGGAGAAATATAACCCTACAGGTATCTGTAAAAACTCAACTAGATTTTTCATGCCAGCTGATTCATTTTGAATGAAAACTAACCCGTTTCTTACTTATTCATGACCTGCACAGGTTGTTTCAGGACAAGGCTGATTTGAAAGCCTTGTATTTCTTAACCGAATTCTGTAACTTTTTAGGGTTAACACAGAACTTAAATTGTGAAGATCTGTAGTGAAATAACACAAATACAATAAAAACAAGATATCATAAAGTACAGAACCAGCCAGTGAACTTTGGTGTTCCGTGTTCCTCTGACAGGAAGTCCAATAGGCATTGAAAAAACATGAGCAACACAGACTGAAATGATTAAATAAAGACTCTCATAGGTAATTCAGAGCCTGGGCAGAGATATTAAGCTTCATTTGTCTGCTAACACAATAATTTTTGTATGTAACGGCCTGTGTGAAGGGTGCCAGACTCAGGCACCACCTCTCAGCTGATATAACAAAGTCCAATATTTTGAAGTACAGATCAGTAAAATGGGAGACAAGGGAGGGACAAACATCAGAAAACCAAGCAGTCAAGAAAACATCTGAACCGATACTTCTGTAAAAAGATTAACTTAGAAGCTGTGGTAGAAATACGAATTACTGACATCCAAAATAGATGCATCGGACTGGCCCACTGATGGAAAAGAGCAAAAAGAGGAGTACTCTTCAGATGCAATAATTTCACCATTCCTAGTGAAAGGGGATTCCTCACATAAAATGCAGTTCAAAACCCAAACATCTTAGCGCAGTGGCAAGAGGGAGGCAGAGATGTTGGAAGAGATGTTTTTTATATGAAACATGAAAGCATTTAAAAATGTAATTTAGAGGGGGGCATGCTGCAGGATGCTACCATGTTGCTGAGAATACATGAACAATTTTTAAGGTAAATCTCAAAGTACAAAGGCTTTGCAACCTGTATCCCTGCTGAGACTCCTGTAGGATTACTTCTGTGAGGAGGGCTTTGTGGCCTCTGGTCCTATGGTAGTGAACACATTAGGTATGATAAAACTGCAAAGATTTTTGTGCAGATTCAAATGCCAACCCCAAAGATCAGGCAATTCCTGGCGATCGAGCTGGAGGTTGCACACAAAAGTACAGTGCATGGGAATCCTTCCCTCAAACTGTGGTTTAGGGGAGAGAAGAGAGGAAGAGAAGCAAAACTTTACAATAGGTGCTATTTTATAAATCATCTGCATGATGAAAGATAAACTCACAGAAAAGTTAGACTGTAAAAGAACATAAACATAGCCATCAGGCAACTACCTTCTGTTGAATGTGTCCTGGCAATTCTGAAAGTTTTTTTGGAAAGGCATCACTTGAAATTTGCTTCAAAGTACAGTTCCAGACTCAAACTTTCCTCTTGCCCAGGATTTAATTCTTAACAACAAAGGAATATAATTACAAATGCTTTAACAGTAGTGTCCCTATTTCAATTTAGGTCTTCTACCAGAATGTTTATACCCACAGTGTTTTTCTTCCAGGCTGCTCTGGATCCTGCCATAATAACCTCCTTGTCTAAACACCCACCTCCCTAAGCAAATGGGCTTATTGCTTATATGCTTAATTCACTTAACATCATCTCTACAAAGAAACATGATCTGCTGTTCCAGGAAAGCAGTTCATCTGTTGTAATGTCATACATGAAAACAGCAGAAGATATGTTATAGAAAAACAATTAACTTATCTAATTGTACTTTCATAACAGTCACACTGTATACCCAGAGAAATTTGTCAGTAAAATACAGCTAGACTGTTTCCACCTGCCTGCTCAAGTGCTGGACATACAAGATGGAAAAAAAAAAATGCAATAAACAATGCAATTCATTAATGTTCATTATTAATTCAATTAAATAGGGCAAGAAGATTCCTCCCCATATCCATGGAACAGAATTATTTCTGACATTTGGAATACAGTACATTTTTAACAAATACTCTAGATCTTCAACTTTTTTTTTTTTTTAAACCCATGGAATGAAAAGAAACAGGGGAAATGGTTATGAAGTCACTTTTTCTGTTTCTACCATACACACTACACTATCTCTTGGTTGTTACATCATTACACAAAGTAGAGTTTTCCTTATTCTATCAACTGGTATGGACTGCTATAAACTTTAACAGGATTAACAATGTTTTTATTGTAGTTCTGCTCCTCTTGTTTATTATGTATTTGTATGTACTTCTGAATACCTGGAAAAAAATACCTGGGGCTTTACCATTTCAACAAAGAAACACAAAAAATCTTTTCGTTGTGTTGAAACACACAAGGAAACAAGCTGAAACTGTGCTGGATTATTGTGATACCTAAATGCAGGTAAGAAAGGTATTACCTTTCTTACTCCAATCTTTTAAGGTAAGATTCCTAACCCATTCTTAACTAATATTATTACTACTTACAGCAACAAACCTTTGCGATCAACTCTGTAAAGCAAAACTTTTATTTTGAAAAACTTTGAGCCAGGCCAGATATTTGCAACAGTTTGATAAC